CCCCCCCCCAAAAGTTAAAGATACCAAATTCATCCCCAGATACGGTGGTTCTCATGTACGGACCCATGAAATTTTCTGGCAGGGGAGCTGTTAACTCAAAAGCCAGAGAAGTTGGAAAGCAGAAATCTTAACGGAATGTTCCCTGTCCAATTACCGCATAGACAATTAATTTCCTGAAATTCGAGGCCCAGTATTTCACAAATCCTAGCTGCTAGGTTTCCGAGCGGTCTCATTATAGCACGAAATACTGCAAAAACGCATGATCACACGGGTCCGCCCTGTACGCGTTGCTAATTTTGCTCTGATCTATATGCCACGTTAAAATATTTCCAGAACAAAGGCATTACAGTTCTAAAACACAACAAAGCAATCTGTGAATCTGGCAGTTTTCTTGCACTGAACTAAAATCAAACCTCATCATATTCATTTTCCACAAAATCGCAACGCCTTACTTCAAGAACGCATGACTGTTCGTTCTCATCTCGCTCCCCACCCGGCTCACTGCAAAGTTTTAAATTTCGCAGAGGCGCATAATTCATATACTATCTGTACCTTTCCGCAAAAAAAAAATATGTCACGCTTATTGCTTTTAATGTTACATCGTTATAACATATCGATACACCCGAACAGCAATGAGCAAACATTTCGCTGAATGCAGTGCGCATATGCAATCGAGTCGACAAAGGACGGAACAGTAGTGGATGAAACTTCTCAGTGGCATAACTGAGCGGTGAGCAATACGCCGAATCAAGGCTTTGATAACATTTGAGCGTTAACATTGTTTCTTTCTGCTCTCCGATCGATCCGTGTACGTTCAGGAAAGCAGTCACTAAAGAACGCATACACGCAGGCTGAGGGGTGCTGGATGGAGCATCCATAAAATGATCACTTGCGAAAAAAAGCCGTATCCACAAAAACCATAACATTCTCTCATTTTCCTTGAGCCGCTTTCCCTACTCTGCTCCACTTTTCCTGTTCTTTTCGGTGTATATGGAAAGTATCTAACTGGATTGAGAAAAATTCAAGCTAATAAACGATTTTAAACAGTTTTAGCTGAGAAGACCGGGAGTGATAAATTGATTTAACAAAAAGGGAAAATCATAATATTTTTACTTTTGCAATATTGCTCTGAAAGCTGGCTCAAGAGCGTTTGATTCAACTTTATGTTAAGCGAATAACAAAATGTTTTAAAAGTATAGGTTGCATATTTATGGTTTAACAAAAAAAGAAAATCATAATATAAGTTGAAAGAAAATTACAGCGCCATTGTTGACAAGTTTGCGCCTCTTTCTCGCTTACTCCTTTTTTCCGTGACCTGTGTCTTTTTTGATGAGTAAAAATGTCACAGCAATATGTGAACAAGCAGAAGCATATGTGCTTACTTTTGAGATTAATTAAGCTGTTGCAGCAGCGGCAGCAGTAGCTGCAGCGGTGCGAACAAGCACATAAAGCACCAGCAACATCGTTCTTTGAACACCATTGGCGGTGGTAGCAGCGGAACACCAACGATCTCGGAACGAGATAGCCCAGTTTCAACAACCAGCTCAACGTGCAGCAATCGGGCGTCTCTGGCTGCCGAAATGTTCGCCGAAACTGGCGATTTTGGAATTACACTTGCTGAGCAGCTCCAGTTGACAAAGTAAACGAAGATTTGTCGCTGTGGCTGCTAAAGGCTGGCAGATTAAAACAGTGCATTGAGTTTTGGCCGGCTAATCACCTGCGGTACAAATCAGACAAACAATTTGGAATACAGTGCAAGCAGCTTCCCCGTGCATCCAGTGTGAAACCACTCCATGATCATAATTTAATTAGGAAGCCTAATA